TCTGGTTCTGGTTCTGGTTCTGGTTCTGGTTCTGGTTGCTCTCAGAGGAATGTTAGATCTCGGCTCCATGAAGGTCATTACCTAATCCAGCTAACATGCTAACTGCTAGCTTGTCTTCTCCTGTTTCAATCGTTTCTACTTTTCTATCATTGTCTCCTGATCCAGCAGAGAAGTTGTGCTGCTCCTCCATCAGCGCCGCTAAAGGAAGGAATCAACTCTATTGCTGCATTTTAGATTTCTGAAAGCTGAAATCTAAATGTTTTAATATTTACCTTAAAATAACAATAAAAATAGCTAACAAACCAACAATAAAGATGACAGCATAGAATTGATGCCGTTTTCAGAACAGTTTCTCCGGTTTATGTGGTAGAAGATAAAGGTGTGTGTCTCATCAAGGAGTCTTATGTATAATTAGAGATAAATAACAACTAAACCTGTTTAACGTATAAAATATTGATGTTATGCAGAACTCAGTTGCTTTGGTTTGTATCAAAGTTTTCCAGAGACCTTCTTAAGTTCCTTCAAAGTTCTTCTGGAATTCCTCCAAATTCCTAAAATGATTCTCCTTCTTCCTCTGAAGAATTCCTCCAACGTTTCCTCATGGTTACTCCCAACTTACTTAGTTCTTACTTAGTTACTTAGTTCTTCGTTTGTCCTGCGTTCCTCCGAAGTTCCCCCCCCCCGATCCTTAAACTTTGTTTCACCAAAGTTCTCTTTCTGAGTTCCTCACCGGCTGGTTTCTTGTTTCTCCACCAGAGGAAGGGAACTCTGCTCAGCTTCTGTTTAACTGAAACCTAGTATAATTTTTTTTCTCATAAAAAGGAACAAAATGTTCCAGAAATTCTGTTACCGGTCCAGAAGAAGGTTTCTGCATGTTTTAAAGATGTGAGCGGAACCATAGAATTTGGATCAACCTCTGACTCGGGTTTGGTGGAAACATTGAGCTGGATTGTCAGAGCTGATGAAATGTCCCGTCTCTCTCTCTGTAGGACTGGGACACGACGATAGAGTTCCTGCCAATCTCTGATCAGAAGCGTCTGGAGAAGAAACCGTACAACCGTAGGCGGCTGTGGATTGGACTCGGGCTAGTGCTTGGGCTGCTGGCTCTGCTGACCGGACTGCTGGTGTGGCGTTTCCACTGTGAGCTGCTGTGGGGTTCTGGGGGAACGGGTCAGGGTTAGGAGCTGGTTCTGTCCCTGCAGGAAGTGAGTCAGCTGGTAGTTTTGGTTGTATAACAGCCAGGAATTAGCACTATGATGCTCTGGCTCGTCGGACCGGTTCTACCGCTTCTCCTTTTACAGACGTCAGGGCGGTGCCACGCCCTCAGGCTGAAACCGGTTTGCAGGTTTCTGTCCTCATCCACACCCTCCTAGGACTCCTCCTGTGGTTCCTCATTCTTTAGATGTGGGTTAGATGTTTAATTGCATCCTAAAAACTTCTCATCACTTCCAAAAAAATTAAAAAACAATCCACTGGACTTTGTTTCCAAGGTTGAAGACGTTTCTCTTCCCATCCAGGAAGCTTTTTTAATTCAAAATGTCAGGAATAGCGTTGTAGTGCATCCTAAGGACAAAACCCCCAGTCCAGATATGAGTGGACTGATTGTTGGCCTGGCTGATAAGGCAAGGACTTCTACAGGGGAAAAAAGAATGCCTTGCCTTTTCAGCCAGGCCGACAATTCCCTCTAACGACCCCCCTTTCAGAGACATGGACAG